CTTTTTGCCGCTGAGCTAAATCCCCAGCCCCAACACCAGGTCTTGACCTTTTAAAATAAGACTGCTGTGGCCTAGCAGGAGTCCCACTGCACCCTGAGACAAGGTCCATAGACTCCAGTAGGAATAGTTTGGGGCCCCAGTTTAGGAGTTAATATGAATCTGGAGGAGGCACCGAGGTCCAAGCTCCACTCCACGACCTCAGGGAAGGGTGAGCTCCTGGCAGCGGCTCCATAGTCTTAGTACCTGGAATGGGCTCTCCTGCCCGCATTTCTTCCCCTCCCCAAGCAGAAGCGGGCAGGCGGGCTGCACGGCGGAGGCGCACAAGTTTTCCCTGGCGCGCCAGTTGTAGCTCTTGCCCTGAGCTCTCACTCTGGCCCCGGATGTCCGGTTTTTTCCCGGATTCCGAGCACAGGCACTGATTTGAGCCGGATGAATTTTTGCTGCCAAACTTGGGCACAGCCTTGTCCGGGCCCGTGGCTCCGGCAGCGGGGAGAACCAGGGCGCACCATGGTCATGTCCCGCCCATTGGGTTTCCGGTGCACAGTTGGTAGCTGGCAGCGCGCGCCAGGGGCTGCAGCCGGACAGGCTGTGGGGACACACAGGCGACTGGGAGGTCCCAGCTGGGTCTGCCTAGAACCGGAGCGCGGAGCTCTCCCTGAACCCGCTTTGCATTCCTCCCCCACGTAGTGCTTCCGCCCTTGTCCCGCTTGGGCTCGGGACTTCACTTTAAAGTACAGTTCCCAGCTGAATCCTTTGTGGTTTTAAAACCCCTTCTATCCACAGTCCAGAAAAGAAGAGTAAATATAAGAATCAAGCATGCCAAAACCATACAGGTCCTCCTGTGACTCTTGAGACTGTAGTTGTCCCATTTTAATCACCAATAACGCAATATACTTTTCTTCTTTGGTCTTCTCTTAAGCCTATTTTTGTAACTGTTGTTTAAGGTCAGTAGACCTCCATGCCCAGCTCTTTACACCTGATAATAGTCAACATAACACTCCAGTGCTAACTATTGATCACTCCCCTCATCCTGTTGTGCACACAAATTCTGGTGAGTGTCCCTCCACCAATCACTCTCCTTACCAGGGGCCCCATATTGAATCATTGCCCCTCCGCCATGCTACTCTGCCTTGGAGCCCGCCGATTATGGAATAAAACCGCTACAAACTATGAGCTAAGTAAACCTTTCCTCCTTAACTTTGGGTGTCTTTCTCAGGAAAGAGAGAAAAGTAACTAAGGCAATAGATTTTACCTTTTATTTATTTATTTATTTATTTATTGGTTTTTCTCCGGTACCGGGAACCGAACTCACGACCTTGCGCTTGCCAGGCAGGCGCTTTGCCGCTGAGCTAAATCCCCAGC